AGAAAGCAGCAGTGACTGAAATGAACTGAGGACAACTCCCAACCAATCAAAGAAAGCAGCAGTGACTGAAATAAACTCTGGGAAATGGAGACAGGAAGTGTTTTGTTTGTTTGTTGTGTTTTTTTGTAGTTGTTTCTTTATGTCTTGTTTGTTCATTTATGTGTCTTTGGGAGGGCAAAGGAGGCCATAGAAATGGAGGCACCAAGGGTGAACAAATACAGCCGTGGTACTCATTGGACATTGTGTGGAAAATGAATAACTTGTGGGTGGGGACGAGGGAAAATCCAGGAGAGAGCAAGGGAAAGGGTGACATTGTCCAAAAAGAAATAGACTCAGGCTGGGAAGGTGGCTCAGTGGTAGAGTGCTTGCCTTGCATACATGGAGCCCTGGATTCCATTCCTCAGCACCATGTAAGCAGAAAAAGCCAGAAGTGGTGCTGTGGCTCAAGTGGTAGAGCACTAGCCTTGAGCTGAAGAGCTGAGGGACAGCGCCCAGGCCCAGATTTCAGGCCCCATGACCGACTCCCCCCACCAAAAAAAAATACTCATTACCTGACTTGTAGCTGAAACCAACCCCTCTGGACAGTACCTTTATAACAATTTCTTTAAAAAAATCCAATCAAAGACTTGGCCCAAGATATGCAAAGCCACAAGAAATATGAAGAAAACAAAGCAACACAACTCATGCAAAACTCAGTGACTCTAACAGAAAGTAGTCAGACTTGCAGACTTGAGCCATGGGCTTCCTCCTTTCTTAAAGCATTTAAAAACCAACAACTTGTTGGTTTTCTGTCTGCCCATTTGAGTTGTAAATCCTTTGTCAGTTTTGCCAGTTAACACCTGAGGACTCTTTTTCTTAAGCACCAGAGTGTCATTTCTTTTAAATGAAAAGCAGCTGGGGAGGAGACTTCCCTCCTATCTCAAGCCTTAGGTAGTGAGGAGTCCACCTTCACAGGCCCCTTGCGGAAGGCTGTGAAGCTTTGTCTTAAGGTCAGTTTCCTCTGGGTAAAGGTGATTGGCTAACATGAGTAGTCAGTGGGTAGATTTAGGATGAATCCCGTTTCATAAGACTAGCTGTGGTTGGTCTAGAGAACATTGGTGCAGTGGTGCTGTGTCTATTTGGCTGGGTATAGCTGGGTGAAATTTGCCTGTGTAATCTCAGAGGGTGGCCTGGGATGGCCCGGAGTTCTGGTTTATCGCACATTGAATGATAGATAGGCTGTTCCTGTCTCCTCTGCCTTCAGGAAGAGGCTTCCTGGGCTGGCAGCCCTTTCCCTTCCTCCGATCTTACACAATGGCATGATGTCACCTAAGGGAACTTCAAGTACTGACCGAGGGGATTCCAGGGTGACTCTCCGGGGCCTAAACCCATCTTGTTTCCTCAGTGTCTCTCTTTAGAGCTCTGATTTATGTTCCATATTCAAGTCTGAAAGGCACATTCAGTGGGAAAGAGAGGTGCTTTCCCCTGCTCCCGGCTTCCCCAAGTAAACTCACAGCCCCAGGAGCTGACCTTGTAGATCGCCATGCAGGAAAGGGACAGCCTGTTCATGGTTAGAGGAACATTCTAGAAGCAGAGCCAGAAGCAAGGGGGTGGGGGGATCAGGGAGGAGTAGGTGCTTGCTTGGCAGGGGTGCGGGGAGGGCAGGGTGGGAAGCTGGGCAGCGCTTCCCCATAGCCTGGACTTCTCTGAGCCTGGGGGAAGGGAGCTGTCATTCTCTTCCTGTGTCTGGGTTCTAACACTGTTTGTTTGCTGTCAGGAAAGGAAATGGGAGGTGGAGGGGGACGGGCGCCCTGGGCAGGAAGCACGGGTCAGGGTTAGAGCAGCACCCTGCTCGCACTCACGCTGGGACGGGAGGTCCTCCCTTGAATCCCTTTCCAGCCCCTCCCCAGAGACCCAAGGCTGCGGGGTGCCCTGGGCGCCCCACCCTCGTGTTGCTCCTTGCTCTGCAGGACCTCGGCTGGGGAGCAAGCACCCAGCTCCCTGCGTGTGCACCCCAAGGTGGCCTGGTGGTGCTGTGCTTCACCCTGCAGCTCAGACAGAGGACGCGGCCTTGGCCGTGCCCTGGCCCTTGCCCTTGACAGGTAAGCAGGCCTGGCGTGTTCAGGGCCCATGGTGGGGGCGGAGGGTGGGGAGGGGAAGGCACACGAATGGAGTGTTTGGGAAGACATGAAACACTCCCAGCTCTCCTAAACCGGTCTGGAAAGCCAGCTTGGCCGTTGCTTTGATCAGAGAAGGTGTCCTGGAATAAAACGAGGCTTGTGGGGGTTTCAATTGGGAAGGTGCATTTTGTGCTTCTGTGTGAAGCTCCTGCCTAAGCCAGATAGTCAGCAGGCGGGCACCGTGTCCCTGCCGCACAGCTGGCCCTAGAAAGACAAGAGGTGCCCCGCTCTCCATTCTGAATGAACGTGGGACGGTCCCCAGATCTCGGAGTCACCCAGCCCCTTTCCTGCTGGCCTATGGCTCCTGATAACTTGCC